TACTGGTCTAAAGCGCTCTCCGTTACGGATCACTGCCATCTCACCTTTTTGTTTTCTGTAACGGTGTTGTTGTTATTGTTATTATTATTATTATTATTATTATTATTATTATTATTATTATTATTATTATTATTATTATTATTATTATTATTGCTGTTATTATTATTATTATTATTATTATTATTATTATTATTATTATTATTATTATTATTATTATTACCTTTTTCAGTGAGTTTCCCAACATTTATCAATTTGCAACTCATGCTACGGTGTAGGGCAGTCTGAAGATTTCACCTTATCTTTTCAATACCATGCGATTAAAATTTTGACTTATTTGTGTCGGATATTATTTACAAGTCTGGATTTCTAATACTGGACAAGGATGCCTATCATAATGCTCTTGTCGTCATTTAGTACATTGATCAACATTTTCAAGATATAGTTTTGTTCGTCCTTCTTTCTGTTGTGGATTCTAAATTTTGGATTAAACAGCCGAAATAGACCAATAATGAATGTCGGAACCTCTTGAATGCAGTCAGCATCAAAGTGTCCACATTTGATGCACTGCACATGCAAATTAAATGAGAGAAATACATTTTTATTCTTATACTTTTGAATTGTATTTCTTAAAGTCAGTTGACAATTAAATATGCGCAAGGCTTTGCATGGTGAGTTAGGACATGTAAATCACCATAAGAACCTAAGGCGGCATCGTTCATTAAAGTTTCATGATGGTTGCTTTTAAAACAAAAGCAAATATTTGAAGATTATGCAGAAAATATCAAAAGTTAATGAATGCACATTTGAATTCACTTTTGAAACTGTTGTCAATTGAATCTTAGTTCAGTACTCTCGATCTGCACGTCGGTTCCAGGACACTAAATTTCCATATTTTTTTGTTTAACACTTTTGGTCACAACCCAGAAACTCTTATGTGCGTACTCCATCGATCCATCCGTCGTCCAAGCGTTAGCACAGGTTAGTTATCATACTCACAAATTCTCGGTGAACTACCACGAATCCGAGCACTTTTTCTCTCATTTTAAAAGTCTTGCTCTCTCTCCTTTTTCCTGAACGGATGATCATATCAAATGCCGCCGATTGTCACACATATTACCATTTTTACTGTCTATTTAAAGTTTGTCAAGAAGGAAATGATCTGTTATGAAGAAATTTGTGACATTAATACTTCCTTCAAATAATCAAGATGGAAAGTTAAAACGGCGTTCAAATATTCAGTTTTGAATTAAGAGGTGCCAGTTCTTAATTCAGTGCCTGAAGTCGCTCGTAAAAATCCGTTCTTTTTCAAGAGTGCTTCATAAGTAGTGAGGTGATACATTCGACAAATTCCGCTACTGACTAATCTTATAGCAATGGCATTCTCACGTGGCAGACAAATTGATTCGAGAGAGAATGAAGAGAGGCAGGCCCGCTGTATTTAAGTGGATTTTGAGAAGATAAAGTATGCATTAAATAAAATTTAGACTTTGATGAATTATGTGAAGACAAACTCAGCTGCTGCAGTTGCCCATATTAATTGGTAAACATACGACCTGGACTTGCAAAAAATAATGTACCTACGTTATGCCTTTGAAAAACAAATATCAGATGCTATGCTAAATAATGCATCATATCAAACTCAAGACTAGAATAGCTTATTACATAATGATTACCAAGACCATTCGATACAGCGAGCTGTTGGCTTTTTATGTTTACAACGGTGACGTCATGAACTTGTGTTTCAGCTTTTGACTGAAATTCGTTTGACTTGCCGATGTCGCCAATCAACATTGGATTAATTCCTATGTGAAACGTGGCCGTGTTTCTAGAGACATGGCATAGTTCACAATTTGATGGAACGTCAATATTTTCTAGTTTCAACTGCACCTAGCTATGCTTAGGACCAATATCTTTGAAGATTCATTATTTTTCGGCTTATTTATCATATCAGACATTTTGCACGTAACGATGGCACTGAAACTTGAACTGAAAGACTACATGTATTGTCTAGTCATTCCTAAACGAAAACATAGCCAACCTTATATCGAATGTGACCACAAGAGCACCATCTTAAAATTATTGCCATCCTTGCCGAATGGGTGGTCGTATCGACATAGGGTTTCAGCAAACGACATCGGATGAAGTCTTGTTGGTTCTAAAAATAAGTGCCAGTTTGACATCCACGGCGGCCATTTTGAAATCATGGGAGTTTCCTCTACAAGACTTCCCATTATGTCTAGTTAATTCTAAATAAAAATAAAACATATTTTTGAACTTAATAGCCGCCACGACGGTCATCTTGAAAATCGTGTTATCGATATTTATGAAGAACAGATAGCCATATCAACATAGAAATTTGACTACATGAGATATCATTTATTTGGTTCAAAAATGAAATAGGTAATTGGCACGTATACAGCATGATGGCCATGGGAGCCATCTTCAAAATTGTCATTAATAGTCCTATTAAAGTTTCAGTCGTACAATCATACACATCTAACCATATGTTGTTCCTAAATGACACAGATGCTGATGTGACCTACAAAATGTGCCAAGTCTCATTAGACCTGCTTCTCCTGGCTGTATCAACATATATTGTTTGTAAAATCTCTTTTTTCTTGCAAGATATAGCGGTTCTTACATTACAATGGTGCTGATCCAACCCCAAAATGACTACCTGGATGACAAAATTGAAATCTTGTATGGCTTCTGAGTTGATGTTTGAATATGGGATTTCCAGAGCAACATGGGGATGATGAATAAAACGTTTCTGCATGAATATTGTGCTGATCTGACCTTCAAAATGGCTCCTTGTAGTCAACTCAAGCAATTTTCTTCGTGTTTTTCCTCTTGCTTGTTTGGTGACATCGACATAGGGTCTCATTAAAACACGTTGTGCAATATGAAGTTGGTTACGAAATAAAATGACGCATATTTGACCTGTTGGTCAAATCCGAGTTCATTGCTTGCATTTTTGTATTCTATAAGCTTTTGAACGTAATAATTTATACATATATATGGGTCAACGTCAAAAGCCACGATGAAGAACGTTGCGCTGAACTTAATGTTTCTTGTGAATATGTTAGGCCGAACTTATCAAAAATTATTGTTCTTATCAAGATTGATATCTTGGAGTTTCTCAAAACTATCAGAGATGGGTTCAACACTGAACATTTGGAAAGTATTCAAGGACAGAAAAGAAGCTAAAAAATCTGAACACAGTGCGGAGTCATTGAAATTCCTTTTAGGTCAGCATTATTGTCCAGCTTATATCCCTTCATCAGACGGTTGTCGTATACTATCTTGTTTGAAACTGGTAAGGATGAATTTTGAATCATAAGTGTATCCTGAATATATATATATATATATATATATATATATATATATATATATATATATATATATATATATATATATATATATATATATATGTGTGTGTGTGTGTGTGTGTGTGTTTGTAACGTAAACTACATTAATTTAGTTTTGAAATTTAAATTTCCTTAAGCTTATCACCTTATAGCAAATAACATTTGTTTTTCTTTAAAGGGAGTGAAATTTGCAGTGTTTCTGCATGCCTCGCGTGCCCTTACTGAAAAGAAGGAACAATACGCAACGCCCATTCAATGACCAAGGTTTGCACTCCACAAAGCATCCTGCAAAGAATGGTCTTTTCAGTGGAAAGTACCAAAACGAGAGACTCTGCAAAGCTTCTGATGGCTTAACAAAGATAAAGGATCCAAAGGAACGACCATGAACATGAACGACTTCTTAAAACTTTAGATTTGACTTTTTTGAGAATAAAATAATATGCATGTTACTCGGTTCTATTTCGGGTTTTATATTATTAAACGTATTGTGATCTCTACTTTGTTCACCATTCAACCATTATATCATAGGTTTCATTCTGAGTTTATGAAGTATTCAAATTTTGAAACTTTGTTCAATTCAATAGGCAGTGCGTTATGAAACAAATACCAATGTCTATCGAATTTATCTGACTGATCTCAATAAACTTGGAGATTATTTGAATGACAAAAACTCGAGGAATAACAGATTACTAACGCAAACATTGCGACATTGGACTTTTATTTTGTTCTCATTTGTGGTTTTAGGCTGTATGACGGTGATATTTTGTTATGAAACATTAACGATTGTTCACTTACGAATCTTTCTATAAATTTGAATGAATGTAACACATAATATGCAAAATTAAAATCAGAATTAGTGATCACTAATCTACTGCAAACAACTTATTATTTGATAGTTAAGTAACTAGTTATATTACGTAATTTAATCGAAATAATTAAATTTCTTTTAGGCTAAATTATCATGTGTAATAGGATTGGTTATATCAATGGTAAACAAAGTTGTGGTGGTTATTTTATGTGATACATGAGGAAACTTAATATGAAGGTACAGTCTATCTGCTGTCCATTGACTGGACATAAAATTCCCATTTTTAAGTATCCAGATATTTATAATATGACTCATTTATTAATTTATGGTTGAAGATACTCCTATAATTTTTCAGAATGTTTGAAAGTTTTATTACATGTTTGCTTTTTAGTTTATCAGTGCAAAGCGAGTACTTTGGAGGTATTTTAGGCAAGTATTACTCTGAGACTTAATTGTACAAAACAACCACATATGATAAATTATCAGTTAGATGTTACTCTGAGATTCAGCAGCAAAAGGTAAGATGTGATCAACTGACACAATGTGCATAGTTATAGTTAGTATTGATTTACAGTGTAATCTTAAAGATGATCTGTTCCGTCATTATTGCTGATCACTTATTTTGCATGTGTTACAATCCTTCAGCTTTTTCTATTTCTCTCTCTCAATCTCTCATATATATATATATATATATATATATATATATATATATATATATATATATATATATATATATATATATAATATGTGTGTGTGTTTATGTATGTATGTATGTATGTATGTATGTATGTATGTATGTATGTATGTATGTATGTATCCTCTCCGATGGCCTAGCGGTTAGAACGTCCGCCTCGGATGTGGGAGATCGTGGGTTCGATCCCCGGCTGAATCATAGCAGGGACTTATAAAAATGGTACTAACAGCTGCCTCGCTTTGCGCTCAGCATTTAGAGATTAGTGTTGGAACTTGTCGATCAGGTGTCAGGAAAATCTGACAGGGTGGGACATCATGCTACTGCATTATGCCTCAGTGCTAGATATCACTATAAACTGCCACTGCAGACATCGTGGCTTTAAAGCTACGTTATAAAACCAAATCACACACACATACACACATGTATATGTGTGTGTATTTTCGTATCAATCGTTAATTTGTTTATTTCTCTGTCTCTGGTTGAAATATTGATATTTATCACTACATTGGTTTTTCAGCTTTTCTTTCTTTGTGCAAAAAAAGAAGAATCGTTAGCTTCCTTTTGAACTGGAAACTTGTTAATGTTGATCTGTATAATGTTCCTAATGCATTCTGTTGGGATAAAATAATCCCGTCGAGGTCGAGGATTGAGAGGTAAAGTAACTAACTAAAATACAAGTCTAATCTAACTCCTTAAATTTTTATCTTAATAACAGAAACCTTCTCTATGTTACTCAGACAGATGTTTGATTCATGTCCTCATCAGAGTACGTAATTTTCACATACTTATATCATTTCGAAACTGTGTCATGAAGTCATATTGAAACAGAATTTATTGTCATTATTATCTGATAACATTTACTGCAACACATTTGCCTTGTCATGTTTCAAAATACGGGTTGATGTGACGACTGCGAGGTCCGTCTTTCTACAGCATAAGTAGTTCTTCAAACTTCGTATATGGCTTACCTATCGGTTTTGACACCGCATGCTTCATTATCAAGGTCACATAAATTGAAAATGTGGTTTCCTGCTTGCATAAAGACTAAACATTCCTTAATTTTAATCAAACGTCATATGTAAAATTGTACTTTGGCAGGATCACCTCTGAGGTCAAGAGGTTGCAGGTCATAGTGTGTATTGTTTTAGGTTTTCGATAAATTTAGTGACCTGGATCGAATTTCCATCAAATTTGTTAAATATTTGACAAATGGACATGGGTTAAATTTCTAGGTTACTCGTCATAAGACTACTTTCCACAAGTTTCCTGAACTCGGTCTTTTCAACTTCTCAATTGCTTTACATTTTGGTAAGGGCGGCATGCACCTAGTTGAGTCTGCATTAGCTCGATCAGAGGTCAAGGTCACTGGATGTGACTTGTTTTTCAGTCATGCTGGAGATAAATAAATGAAGTTCAACATCTCGTAATTTTCTTCTTCGTCATGAATGACAGTCAATCATAAACATCCACGATTTAAATATACCTCTGTACTAGTCAGTGTTGATTCATCAAGATCATTTACCGATTATGATTCCACAGCACATTTTTTAAAATTCTGACTAGCTTGTGTTGTATTAGCATTTGAACATTAATTGTCTGGGGAATTTTTGGCTTATATTTCTTACTAAACCTGTATCATAGTTACATGATTAAACAATTATTTGCAACAGTAAATAATATGACCCAAGTAAAACGATTTTGGTGTTTGGGGTGGGTGTTTTATTTTGGATTTAACAGCGCTTTGGAATACATTCATCGGTAAGAATCAATAGTTTTTTTTTCCGTAAATGAAATTCCTGGATATTAGTTCAGTATCTATTCAATATTGAAACATTGTATAAAACTAGAGTCAGGAACACTAGTATAAATCCTTGATGTTTTTGAAAGCATATAAAACATTGGATATTCAGATATTTGAAACATCAGAAACCCTTCTTAGTAATGTTGCTGTCTCTTTAATAAACAGAAAGTGGTGACCTGTATACCTGTCGACTAAGGCAGATATATTTATCCTAAATAAGATTTATCTCTTTTTTTCTTTCTGAATGACCACTTCACCTTACTTGACAATGACAAATATATATATATATATATATATATATATATATATATATATATATATATATATATATATATATATATATATTTCCATGAAGAAGATAAAGTTTCGGGATATTTTATGTATAAATGAGTAAATGCGAAATATAAATAAGGGTTCTAGTCAAAACCCTTTTAAATGATAATAAGAAAGGATCTTTATGGTAGTTAGTTTCTTTAAATGCTGTATTATTATTGGAAGTCAATTCCGGAAATTCGCAGTTTGCAAGAGTGGCAAAAACCTCAAAATAAATCCCCGTGTTTGTCGATCTTGCCTTGGCGAAAGTTTGATATAATGATCATTTTTAGCTTTCGTGTCCGATCGGCCGGCCGCTCACACCGAAACCTAAGTTGCGAAAGGTTTTTACTTTGTAGCTAAATAAATGTTTGGCTCTAAAATGCGAATCTCATGTTTTCATAGCAAATGATGCTGACAAACACGGAAGCTTTCTCAGTCAATCATGTTTTAATTTCTCGTAATCCAGTATTAGCTGGCTGGATTCCTGCCCTCTCTAGCCGGCTCGGCTTCCTCGGTGTAACTTTTTAAAGGCAGTTATCTCCCATTTCCTCGGCATTATACAGTTACTAATGTGTTTAGAGTGACTTTTTAATAAAGTTAAATATTCAAATTTCCTTTAGTAATTTATACCGCCAGGAAACCGGATTCGCCCGTTGGCTACCATGGTATTTAGATCCAACAGCCATCGACGCGGCAAATATCATACTGTTTTATTTTTATATTACTTTGAATGGATATGATATTCCATTAAAGTAAAGCATGACAAGATCTTGTTGCGGTTACCACTGTATAGAGATAAGATAAATGAAGTTGAAAAAGCCAAAGATGAATGAGACTTTTTTATTGTAAAATTGGCCTATTTAGACATTTTCTTCTATACTATATAGCATATAAATAGACATGTGTTATGTATATTTAATTTATATTGTGCTTGACTTTTGTCCATAATTGAGATTCGAGGTTTCTAATACCTGAGTATTGTTATGTATTTGTCATGATTGTAAGTTATTAAGTTGTTTACTGGTATTTGCGTTCAAGGTTTAGTCTTATTTAGTGTTTGGAACGTTCTGAAAGCGAACTTGTGACCAATATTCTGCTCAATTTACTGTGTCTTATGTGTTAGGACTGAAACACTTTTGGGATTATTGTGAATTCATTTATATACATTATGGATTATATCATTGTGAAACATCAAGAATGTCGGTACATCAGACTGCTCAAGGCTGTTGGTATATCAGTGCATTCGATATTGGAATTCGTTCGGAACACTATACTTTTGGACTAAAGATAAAATATTTAGGATTGTTTGGGATTCAATATTCAATGCTGTATGTTCTCTTTAAGTTTTCACTTTGTATTCTCGGGAAATAAATTGTTGAATGTTACAAAACGTTTTTGTTTTGCTTTTGTTTTGCATAGTTTAGTATTATAGAGTCGTAACACAGGTGACTGTTTTCTGTGCAGAATAGCTACAAAAAGGCAAATGCCATGAGTGCATTACAGGATGTTAATTTACTGCTTTTGCATATCTGGTCGAAAAACATCGATCAGTAGAATTAAAGACAGAATACATAGTTTTTCCCCATAAAATACTTGCTATGTTTTTAGTCTGACATTATTTATGACACTAGCCGACAAAAATCTTAATTGAGCCAGATATTTCATTTGCGGAATTCCTTCCATATCACGGTGTCTTTATTTTTGTATTTCTCTTATTATTTATCTGCTTTTTGTACGGAGGGGGAAGTGGAGAGACAAGCAGCGCAGGTCATAGTACAACGTTTAGACAAGCAGTTAAGGAAGGAAAGAAACCATTCCGGGCAAGACACTACGATATTTTAAAAGTTTGGAATGTTTATTCTCGATTTTCACTCATAACATATTTCAGATTGTATATCAGCAGAATTGGGTATTTCTTTTAAAGAGTTATATGCCAGCAGAGTTGTATGTTTTTTTTTTAAAGAGTTTAGACAAGCAGATAAGGAAGGAAAGGAACCAGTCCGGGCAAGACACTACGATATTTTAAAAGTTTGGAATGTTTATTCTCGATTTTCACTCATAAAATATTTCAGATTGTATATCAGCAGAATTGGGTATTTCTTTTAAAGAGTTATATACCAGCAGAGCTGTATGCTTTATAAGAGTTTATATCTTTATATTGTATCTTTTATTTGTTGATACGACAATATTGTTACGATTTCATATATCTGGAACGTTTTGCATTCCAACATATCTTTTTATGTTTCTTGCTTGTTTTTTGTGTTTTGTGTTATATATATATATATATATATATATATATATATATATATATATATATATATATATATATATATATATATATATATATATATAATGTCAGAACTTAAAATTTAATTGATCTTTTCCATCCAAGATTACGAACAGTTATTTTGAAACTATATTCATACATCAGCAGAATCATAAAAACACTTCGCAGAGTAGGTCATATTTGTTTGTCAGTCTAATGAATATATTTTTAGATCAACCTTAAGTCTTAAATCTTCAGATCAATATACATATATACATATATCGGCAGTTTATAACATTATGTCCATGAGCGACATCATATCATCCAGACGCCAGTTTCTCAGGTGCGTGTGTGTGTGATCGAAAACTGGGAAATTTGTTCATTGTTTTGGGAATTTATAAGTTGAAATCGTGAAAACTGTACGATATCTAACAAGATGCTGCAGCAGCCGTGCAAGACGGAGCGTACACATTGATATCAAGCAACATTGCTATTAAAGTATTCCTAGAACCTGGCAAAGTGAGAATTGCGGTGTACTGACATTCGCTGAAATTTCTAATCCCGAAATTCGGACGTGATATTTGGATATGGTATTTATATTTGTCTTTGCTAAAACTATTGCCTCAAACGGAACTAAGTAGCATGTTTTCTTTCCGAATGTATTCAGTGTCACACAGGAAACATAAGTTATCGACATGTATAGATATTCAATGCTGGGAAAGCCTCCTTAATATACGCACGTGATTAAAATATTCATACATATTTTGACCATTAAGAAAATTCTCAATTTTTTTCTCAGCTGGGTACAGTAAGAAG